ACAAATATATAAGCATTTGCTGTGTACTTAGTTAAAAACAGTATATACCTATGTACCTAAGTACAATTTCAGATTTATTTTGCAATGGCAAAGTGGGGTTGTTTAGTTTATGGATTCAAATATATCAAATGTGTGTTTTTGATATCATAGCATACGTAATAGACATCATATTTTTACATGATTAAATATTGAGGTAAAAAACACAGAAATAATATCAAATTTGATCAGTCACTAAACCATCCAAACATTTGAAAATCTGAAAAAGCCTCCACTGCTGGGATACTTTATTACAATCAAACAAGAACTACCTGGGATAGTTTCAAATAACGGCATCTGATGGGCATCCACCCTTCCTAATGTCCCACTGATTAGGTTGAAGAAATTCTGCCAAGGCGGAGAGTAGCCACGTCCCCGCGCCCGTCACTGTCGAGGGAGCAGGGACTGACCAGTTTGCAGCTAGGTTTCGTAATTGGACTGTTGGCGAGAAACATTAATCGCTCTGGATCAGTGGCCCTCTAATTCTTTTCATATACTAGAATCTCATAAACTATTTGTCTCTGGAATCATCTGTGATATGAACTTGTGTACTGATTTCTCTAGAAATTATTCAACGTGATCTAAAGTGAATAATGTATTAAACATTTAGTCACCTTTTATTGTAAATGACCAAATTAATTAGTTACACTATAATTTATTAAAGAAGGAATTCATTTTGGTTGTTTTAGCGGGGTGTTCCTCTCCTTCCCAGTCGGGCAAGTTGTTTATTTAGGGATTAAGAGGATCACCAGTCCATGTTAATTAGCAAGACAATGATGGGTGATGACTGAGGAGATGACCAAGCCAAGAAAAACACAAGTGGACTATCATATGTATTTTAATGTTCAGCATACATAAATGACAGAGAAAACGAAAATACAGAGAACTTAACGATAGACGTCAGAGAGAAGATGACCATCTTCAAGCAGGAAGGAAGACCATGATAGAATATGGAGATGCTGTTTCTCATCAATTTGGACTTTAAAGTCAATTGTGTATGAACTTGGAAATTGGTGGTAGTACACTTTTCCGGAGCTGAACTCTAAAACTGTTCACTATATCTTTACCAAACTTGGCACATATATTGGTCTGGTGGTGTACTGGTGCCTTTTGGTAGTTTTGGAATTCTGAGAAAAATATTTTTGGCATTTCCATGGCAACAAGTTCGACTTAGACTGAAATTAGTGGTAATGCTCTTTTCCGGAGCAGAACTCTAAAACCGTTCACTATTTCTTCACCAAACTTGGCACATAGACAGATCTGGTGGTGTACTGGTGCCTTTTGGTAGTTTTGGAATTCTGAATAAAATATTTTGGCATTTCCATGGCAACAAGTTTGACTAAAACAGAAATTAGTGGTAGTGCTCTTTTCGGAGCAAAACTCTAAAACCGTTAAATGTTTCTTCACCAAACTTGGCACATACATAGATCTGGTGGTGTACTGGTGCCTTTTGGTAGTTTTGGATTTCTGAATAAAATATTTTTGGCATTTCCATTGCAACAAGTTTGACATGGACTGAAATTGGTGATAGCGCTCCTTTCTGGAGCAGAACTTTAAACACCTTTCAATACTCTCCTTCCACTTTTCTATATACACACCTAAATATTTGACATAAACATAACTCGTAGACATAATCATGAAGAGTATTTTGCCATTGCGGGGGATATTGATGACTTTGTCTTCTTCTTGTTAGGATATCTTATAGTATGATATCTTTCAAGGTTAAGTCTCAACCTCGTTACAGAAGCAACATATGAATCCTCAGCTTTAAGTATTCTCTCTTTAACCAGTACAGACCACTCAGCCTTCGTTAAGAAGGAAGATTGGTTTACATAGTTGTATAAATGCATATCTAGGTCATACATTGTGACAAGATTGAGCATGTGGAAGATTGGCGATGACTTGCTATATCGCTCTTTCTCCAGTGATGAGGTTTGTCTGTACTGACAGAGTCTATGCACAAGCACTTTCTTAAAGACAAATTCAGTATCGCTGTTACATAGTTTACCGAGAAATAGCAAGGACTTCTGGTGCATATATCTTCGTAGTGTGACCAGGGCGAAACTGTCTCTGGCTATTGTGGATGATCCACGTTTTGAAAGGCCTTGGATACTCTTACAAAACTGGCTTTGTACAGTTTCCAGCATATCATATTCCTTTTCAGGTAAACGGGCCCATACATTACAAGTGTACAAACCGCATGGCAGAATAATTCTTCCCCAAATATGTATACAACAGAGTGGGTTAAGGCCACCAAAACACAGTCCATGGTTCTTATTGGCATTAAAGGGTATCCTAAGCCTTTCACATACAAACTGCGTACGTTCTATGGTTTTACCGGATGAATAGATTTGGAGACCAGCAAGGTTTACATGTGTATTGGAAGGTATTTCCTTCTAACCAATGTATATTTTAGGATGGACATTTCTTTTTGTATCTCCAAATACAAGAAATAGACTCTTTGATGCATTAAAACGCAAGTGTCACGTGTGCGCATACCTATGTACAACATCAAGCAATTTTTGAGGTCCACCTGGGCATGAACTTAGCAAAGACAAGTCGTCGGCTAACAGCACCCCTGGTGTTTTACCCCATGGTAAACATATGCCATGCTCAGAGTCAACGATACTGTAAAGTAAATCGTTTATATATAGAGTGAAGAGCCAAGCTCATAAGACACGACCCTGACCTACACCCTGTTTTACATCGAATACTTTAGAAATACAGCCACCAGTGCTAACACATGATTTCATTGATGTGTACATAGTGTATATAAGTCGCCACAGTTTACCTCGAATTCCGAAATTGTAAAGCTTATAGAAAAGTCCATTCAACCAAACTCTGTCAAATGCTTTCTCATTATCAAGGAAGGCACAATAAACTGGTGAATTTCTTTCAACGTAGTAGGCAATACTTTCAGTTAGAGTAAGCGCTGCCGTTTCCACCCCCGCACCCTTCCTAAATCCAAACTGGAGAGGGTGGGGGAAGTCGTTTTCTGCTTTTGTCCATGTTTCAATTCTTTTGAGCAGTAATCTTTCAAAAAGTTTTGAGAGCACAGGCGTAAGAGTGATACCTCTATAATTACATGGATCATGCTTGCTTTTACCATTTCCTTTGTGAATTGGTAAAACATTACCAACACTAAATGCATTTGGTACATATTCAAACGATACAATGGCATTAAATAGTAATACAATATGGTCAATAGGAGACCGACCAGCATACTTAACATGCTCGTTTGAAATACCATCTGGGCCTGGAGATTTGTTGTTTTTAAGACGTTTCACGGTATCAAGTACCTCATCTTTAGTAAACGGGGAGAGAATGACTGAATCACTGTCGTCATTTGCAGGGTTATATACAACATCTTTTACAAACTTAGCAACGTGCTCTGTAAATCCAGTATCAAAGCATTCTGGGGTACAGACAAGTCTCTGAAGTACCTGGCAAAGAGATTACATACACCTTCCTGCGTGTTACAGGAGTCACCGTTATAACTTAGAGACTGTGTTTGCTTTCTTTTACGTTTTAACTATTTTGTAACTCTAAAGTATTCTTGGATGTCTACCTCAGCTGCTTGGTAGATTTCATCAAATGTTTCATTTCTGTAACGTTGCTTAGCTGAACGGTGGTTTCTTCGAAATGCACGTTTGGCTTGTTTATATTCAATAAAAATTGTCATCTGAACTGTGGATTTTGCCGTTAGAAATCCAAATTTTGCGGCAATTACGCATCTGGTCATGATGTTCTTTAAGTTCATACTTCCTCCAGTATGGCTTTAATTGTGCTTGGAATTTTGAAGTAGGAATTGCAAGTATAGTTGCAGCATGTAGACATTCTGTGATATAACTATTGTGATACTCGATGTATTCATCAGGAGATGAAAAATGGGAAACATTAAACTGTACATTTCTAAAGTAATTTTCCGCCCGTGTGTGGACACCATAAGCAATTATCTATTAACAAGTTCATGATATTTCGTGAATACATCAATTGCATAACACCATCTCTGACCATAAACCCAAACGGCCCATCCCTTGTGACAGGTGTTAATTAGATGGTACCAATAAGAGAATGTATTGTACAACGATATGTCTATTATTCCCTGGCAAGGGTTCACTTTTATGACATGTAATAAACCCTGCCCAGTCAGTGAGTGAGTCCGGTAAACTTTTATTTAATCCATGATGTAACGTAGGTCTATGCAATTTGTGTTTATACAAACAGTGACAAGGGAAACATTATTTGCGCTTCTGTGATTAACAGTAAAACATACACTTAAAACAGTATTTTAGAACATGCTAGCCATAGTAGGGGGCAAATATGACAGTCAAAATCAGTTTTTGACACTTAGAAGAAGAAGGATGCAGATGAGTGAAGTTATACTATTATATAGAATTGGTTCCCAGTTGATCGCATAGGACGGCGAATCGAAAACACTTACTTTAAACATGATCCCAACTTTCAAAAATGTATCTCTTCACGCGTCAGATGCAATTACATTAATATAAAGCACAAATGGATAATATCAAAATACGGCCTATCCCTGCAGTTCTCATGAATAAATATGTCACATGCAAGATGCATTATGTATATCAACAATAAGAACTCGAACAGAACAAAAGATGCGTGAAATAGTCTACACACTCATGGGGATCCTTGGATTGAGAAGAAATGGAAAGAAGTGGTAGTAAAATCCTTCCTAAATTTCCAAAGATTTCCAAGCCTTGGAAATATGATATTTCCAATTTTGGAAATATTTGGAAATATGATATTTCCAAATTGGAAATTTTTGGAAATCACCATTTTTTTCTTGTGTGACCACCCGATCCCGTTTGTCGCCACTTACGACAAGCATGGGTTACTGAAGATCAATTCTAACCCGGACCTTCACGGGTCCATAGTGTGATTGTTACTGAAGCAAAAGAGCGGGCACCAAATGTCTTAAGGTTGAACGGTGGAGGATCCTGCAGGTGTTGGTTACTGGATCTGAGGACACGAGCAGGAGTGAATGGTGTGAGAAGATCAGAAAGGTATGAGGGAGTCGTTGAGTTAACACAATGGTAAGTGAGAATGAGTACATTGAAATCAATTCTTTCATGGATCCGTAACCAGTGCAAGGAATCCAAAACGAAATCTACGTCACAGGTGGGTTTAGAACGGGTAACAAGACGGGCAGCTTTATTTTGGAGAGATTGAAGGTGCTTTATCTGGGTTTTAGAGGCACGTGTAAGAAGACTGTTGCAATAAGTCCAATATTGACAGAATGAGGGAGCGAATAAGCAGAGCAGTGGTGGGTCAGTTGGATATGCCGGATATGTTACGGAGTTGATAGTGAATAGTTTTGCACAGCTGATTTATATTTTCATGGAGAGACTGCTATCCAAGTAGTCTCCCAGATTGTTCACAGCAGTGGACAAAGGGATCAAAGAGTCCCCAATCTGAAGATGATCAAAGTGACACATTTATTTTCACCATATTTGCTGTCATCCAGGACTTGACGTCACTGAGGCACAACTCAGTTGTGTATGGTGCAGGCTTGGTTAGTCTCTGACAGATCCAATTTGTCAAGCAATTGCGAATTGTAAGCATAGAAGTGGCTAATGACCCGGCACTGTGATATAAGGTGACCCAAGGATTTGGTATACATCGTGAAGAGGACTGGTCCCAACACGGAACCCTGGGGTACGCCGCATTTGAGCACTGAGGGAGATGATTGGAGCCATTGTGAGGAATCCTTTCAGAGCAGTTCCAGAGATATCAAATTCAGTATGCAGTCGATCCATTAACTTGTCATGGTCAATGGTATCAAAGGCAGACGAAATGTCCACCATAACAAGCATGACAGCGTTATTATAGTCGACAGCACTAATGACCTTGTCCAACACACAATTCAAAGCTGTTTCTGTACGCAGATTGAGGCTTATCCATTAACTGAAATTTGATAAGGTGTCGAGTTAACTGGTGTTTCACAACTTTCTGCAGCAAAGATAAGCTTGAAACCGGTCGGTAGTTGGAATACTGTTCAGAATCTAGTGAAGGCTTCTTTATAAGAAGCGATTTTGAAGCAGGAGGGAAATTTGTCTGTTTCCAAATTTTTGTTGACGATAGCTGGTGACTGTGGGAAGAAGAGTGTCCAGAATTGTCACGAAGAACTTGTGGGTACAGGATCCAAGTGACAGCATGTAATCTTGGAGGATATATTGATCATTTTAATATCAACATCACAGACAGGATCAAAAGACACTAGCCTCTGACCAGTAAATCCATTTGATGAGATATCCTCACACAGCGCATAGGTGACGTAACTTGGCGATTTTCTCCATGAAGTATGTGTTGAAGCCCTCGTCAGTGGTTTGAAAGACACGTTATTTGTTTTCCCTAAGAGCTTAAACAATGTTGAAATCAGATGTTTAGGGTTTTTGGAGTATACCTCAATCTCACTATTAGTATGTATATGCTTTGACCTAGCCTTTTTGATACACTTGGTGACATTGCTCCGTGCAGCAGAATATAGCAGTTATAGTATGTTTTGTTACATACCTATTTATACTTATAGTTATATGTATCTCAAATAGCTCCCTTGCGTACCACCTTCTTCAGTTTTACCGGGGCATGTTTGTCCAGTGAAGCTGTGAGCGTGGCGTTAAACAGATCTACCAGCTCCTCTGCATCATTAGGAGGATCAGAAACAAGAAGGTACTCTAGGAGGTCTTTCTTAAATTGCCCAAGGTCGATGCTTTTCATGTTCCTGATTTGTACTTCACGTTGTTTCGTACTGTGTCGCTCAAGGTTTAAAGTGAGAGTCACCATGGAATGATCTGAGAATATGGGTTCCTTGACTTGCGGATCATGTGTAATTACCCAACCAATAGTATACCCTGACCGATGTTGGTTCACGCACATGGTGTGTTAAATCACAGTTTTGAAACATAATGCACACTTTGCTGGTCAGAGAGTCGGACCAGTTTTCAAAATGCACATTGAAATCTCCAAATATCAAGAGAGACTTAGTTTGTTTTCCCAATGATGTACACAGCATAGAAAAGCCTTCACATAAATCTGAGTAAGTCGATCTGTTTGTTTTGGATGGTGGGGGTCTTTACAGACAGACAGACTTAATAATACTCTTTCTGCATGTGATATTGACCACCAAATATTCAAAGGAGGAGAAATCACTTGCCTGAGATGGGAGGTAAGTAGTAAATCATCTCTGTGAATGACAGCTACGCTGCCTCAACTTCTGTCAGTTCGAGGAATATATGCTTGAGTTTATACCCATCAATTGTCATTTCTGAACATAACCATGTATCTGTGATGCACAGTAAATCAACCCTACAATCCAAAATGTAGTCAAACAGGTTACGTTTTTGGCAGATTGTGCATTCAAAAGACTGATCTTAAGGAAATCTTGTCTTTTCACTTTGGGATGGACAAGCATCAATTTTTTAACATTGCAACTGATCTTCTCTCTTAGAAGTCTTTAGTGCACTTCTTGATTCTCTTCACAGCACCCGGTAAGCTCTTAATATGTGGGGACTTTAATTACCACATTGACAAGACAACTGACAGAGATGCGCAGAAGCTGCTCAATAATCTTAAAGTTAATGGTCTAACTCAAGTTATGAATGAACCAACCCACACTCAGGAACATCCTCTCGACCTGGTAAGTGTGCGTGAGAACGAACTGACGGTCAGTAACGTAAGATTTGATCATTCTGTAAGATTTGATCGCTACAGTGTCTTGTTCAGTGTCAACATCTCAAGACAATCCAGTGATCAATAGCATGAACATCGACCTGCACAATTGGGAACCGATGACATGGGTGAACCCAGCCAGCGAGCCTGACCACCCGATCCCGGGTACCCAACAGTAGCTAGGTAGTACAACATAGTATATGCCTGTCTCGGAATTCGTCCATCATGCATTGTCGTTAACTTAAGCCAATATTTCATCGTTCGAAAGTAAGAATTAATATAAACTGGACATTGTCCACATTCTCCATATACTATTGCATTTGATGTTTGTAGACCGACATTTAAGAATATTTTGTATGCTAGTAAGTGCCCCTAAAAAGTCAGTATTTAAGATTCGCTTGTTTAAATCATTTCTATAAGGGCGTTATCAATACCTGGAGATTTACAATTTTTCATATGCTGTATAGCCTTGTGATCGTCTTCTTCCGTTGTAATGAATTCAAGTATCTCCTTATCAACTTCACTCATTTCGACAGATTGGTCTTAAGTGAGTAGTACATCTGATTCAGTTATATCTCTCCTGCTGAAAAGTACCATCTTTTTTTAAGTTATATTACTCGTACAGGATATTAGCATTGAAATTCTTCTCAGCTCCCTCCAAAGCACAGGGGCAAACTGTTACGTTTATTTTAAAGTCTACACTGTTGAGTTTAACACACTGAAGTTCTTTTTCGTCTTAATTTACAGCTTTTAAACTGCTTTAGCGTCTTCCTTTGCCTTATGACGCTTTGGTCCTTAAAGAGTGAATTCTTTCTGAATAACAGTCACTCTCCTTTTTCATACAGTCAACATCAAGTAAAAATCTTACAAATGACTCCATGGCTAAATCTACATCCTTTTCTAAGACATTTATGAAATTGTCTTAATGGTTTATTCAGGAGTAAATAAGGCCACCGGCCAATATTACAAGTCATACAACACAATTATAACATATATATGGAGCACCAGTAGCAATGATGTACACAGGTTTGACAATAGTGAATTTATGTAATATTAAGAAACTTGGCAGGTTTTTTAAGTCCTTGGAAGACACACTTTGCAAGGCAGCTTACAGTATAACAATTATCACTTTTACAGAGCATAATCGATTTCTGTACAAATGGAGATTTACAATAGTGGTATGGCAAAATAATATTCCTTAGATCTGAGTAAAATGGACACTGTAATAAAAACTGAAACTCAGATTCTTGCACAGGTTCAATACAGAATGGACATAATCTATCTTCTGGTGTAATATTATATGTTCTATCAACTTCAATCATTAGATTATCATAGAACAACGGGAGTTACAAATTTGCGATAAGCGGAAACATTTACCGATGATAAGTAGTTTTCATACACATGAAATTCTTTAATCTGTCCATAAAACTTTAACTTAGAATACTTCCCCAGGTTATCAGTCCATGATTGTTTATCAATATCCACACATCGTTGTTTGAACATGTTACGAAATCCCTTAACATGTTCGACAACTTGCACTTACCAAGGCAATCCAAAGCCCATAGTGAAGAATAACTCCTTAACTTGGAGAGCCCAATATTCTATTCCCTTTTCTGCCAACTTGTATTAATAAGAATATATATGATTAAGTATGGCATTATCCTGCTGGTTAAGTATTCTCTGCCAATAGCTAATTATTTTAACATGCGGATTCACCTTGAGTGAATAACGACCGAGTTCACCTCTAGCAACAATACTGGGTGTACTCATACCAAGATGCCAATATCCTTCAGAAATTTATCTTTGGCGCGAATACTATTGGGTGAGGCATGGAAACCCCATACTTCGCTACCATACATCAGAATTGGACGAATCTAAACATCGAAAATATGGGTTAGGACATGGGGGATAGGTTAACAAAGTTATGAATTTATTACAGTGCATATATTTCTTCATACATTTTTATATTTTTCACAAATTATTCATAACATAGGAAATCTGTATAGGTGCAAGTCGCTGTGCATAGTCTGTCTTGTTTAATAGCCCCGCATGGTAAGCGCAGTAGTAGGCAATTAGCAAACGCGTCCACGCCAACCTTAAACTAATTAATCAAATATGAAGTTATTGAGCTGTGTCGGCTCCGGCCTTTCTCCTCGGGTTCATCCCTTGGTCAAGCACAGATAAGTAGTCCCATCCCAGCAGGAGCATGTCTACCACCAACTAAGTGGTAATCGAAAATCAACTTTTGTTGAACAAGATCGAGATTACCACCATGCCATCCTCTTTGTCCTGTCATAAATGCCATGGTCAAGCGCTGACAGCTATTTTGTTAAGCAGCTGGCGCAGGCTGACTGTGGCTACACCATAAAGAAAATCAAACCTTGTTAGGTAATCATCTTCTTACCACCTACCTCGTGTAGTATACTTTGTCAGCATAGGGTAGATAACGCATATGGAAACTTCAACTTTATAGAAACTTGATAATGACAAACGAGTAGAGCTGTGGGTTATAAAATCCTGGGTTCTACCATCTCAGGCACACTTGCTTGAATAAAACGAAGGAACTCACAGCTCTCTCCTTTTTTGTTTCAAGGTAAGAAACATTTAAACTTTATTCTTGCTTATGTCTAACTTGTTATTTCTTTGTAATTATTGTCTAGAAACTGTTAGAGTCAGGTTTGAAACATTCCTATATATGATACTGAAGCACTTTTAGAAATACCTACCATTGTAAATGCTAGTTCTAGATAACCCATAATTCTTAGGCACTATCCAAGGATATTTATTTATGCACATTGCGTCGTGGGCTCCTCAAGTTTTATGTTTTTCATGTAAAAACGAATATTTCTTTTCTATGTTTCGACACACGTGTGTATTCCAGGTCCTTGTCTAGTTTTATTCATGTTTGCGTGTTAGATCTGTATATGCAGGTTAGATTCCCGTTCAGTAGCCTAGATTCTAGTAGCTTAGTCACAAAAACAGTTCCGAGAGTTTATACAATTATTTCGAACAATGATGTAGGTCAGTTATACCGTATTTTACGATAGTCCGCCGATCAAATGATATTCGTGTAGATTTACCTCAGATAAGCGCCAACATTTGTATTTTGATTTCTCACCAACATGATAAGTATTTGAATAATGATATCAAACATTCCGTTCCGCGTGCAGTCGTATACGGTACAGAAAAGTTTATACGGGAATCACATTACCGTAATCATTAGAAAATGGTATTGTCTACTTTTCTTATTACCCGAGAATATACATTCAAATTCGTGTAGTTTAAGCAATTACAGTCTTCATTTTGTATTTATTCAGCTCCGTAATTTTAGGAATACTCGTACCCAATGACAATAGCGCCGTTCTAGTGCATTATTACATATTCATTTAACTAAGTTACTGTCTTGGTTTGTAAAGCACAAAAAAATGTACCTTCCGACATGGGGGATTCCCTTGTTTAAGTGTAGCACTACAACATTACATATATTCTAGGTCATGGCTTAACTCCGTATATGTCGAAATTGCACGTTGCCAATAGCAACATCACCCTCGAAATACATTTACCGTAGTCTCCCAAATAATTCGTTAGCGCAATAGGCACTACATACCGTAATTGTCATAAACCCTTACCGTAGTTAACACATTAGGCGCGACATACCATAAGTCATAAATCCGTACAGCAGTTAATGAAATAGGCACTACATGCTGTAATTGAATTGTTGGGCGCTCCACTCAGTACTTGTCCTCTGCAATTGTGGTTGATGATTAATTTATCCGTCAGGCTATGTTATTTATCAGTACCGTAGTAACTCAAGGAAATGTATTGGTTGTATTATGTTTCTGTAAGCAGTTACCGTACATACCTTGTTGTACCACACATTGCTTGTATTACCTGACTTAGATATAAACTGTATAAGGATGTCATTGATTATTGTTTCTATTATTGTATGTCATTATTATGTATGAATTGATGTATTTTGAATGTCATGCAAGACACTTGCTTGAATAAACCGAAGGAACTCACAGCTCTCTCCTTTCTTGTTTCAAGGCTCGCTCCCTATAGCTAATTCCCCAAATCGAGGCCTGACAGCACCTTTGGCACACCTAGCGTTAAAGGTCGTCCTAACGGACAAAATGCAAAGCTGTCTTACATTCTTGACCTAAGTATTGATAAAACTTTGATTGCCTGCTCGGACTGCGTCTTTTGTGTAACAAACCAGGAACCCGAAGAAGAGAAGTGAACTCCTAAGTACTTATAAGATGAAACAATATCAACTGGATTTCCATTAAATGTGAATTTTTCATATCGAATAAGTCTACCACCTTTTCGAAATACAATGAATTTACTTTTATCAACGTTAATCTTAAGTTGCCATTTATCCCAATAAGCTGATAACTTATCAACTCTTTTCTGGTAACCTCTAACCCTACTGTCAAACATAGCAATATCATCAGCAAAAAGCAAAATAAAAAGTTCCATCAAATCTATATATCAATACACCTTTGGTTATCCATAGACAAATCCGCAACAGTATCATTCATGAAGAAAGAGAAAAGAAATAGTGATAATTGAAAAAACCTTATCTCACTCCATTAGACACTCAAAGAAAACCGTATTGACACCCTCAAGGGATCAACAAGCCTTGACAGTTTACTTTAATATATTTAATATTATAATATATTCTATCATAAGTTTATAGAACTGAGTCAAACACTGATTTTAAATCAATGCAAACAGAATACAATCTACCCTTATCAAGAGGCAAGTATTTAGTAATAATAGTATCAAGAATGAAAATATTATCAATAGTCTGATACCCTTTAAGAAAACCTGCTTGTTCAGATGCAAAATAATTTTCGTCTTCAGCCTATCTATTTAGTCCTGGCGCCTTACCCGTTTGCATACTATCCAGTATACTCCGCACTTCCTCAAAAGTAATATTCATGTCTAAATTGGTGACATCAGATGTAGCTTCGACCAAACTGTCACGAATAGAATTAACAAAATTAATGACATAATCATAAAACTCAACCTCTGCTGTACAAACATTTGTACCTTGAAATAGTGATTAAAAATGTAACACCCATTGCTCGGGTGTACATTATTTTTGCTAACATATGATCTGATTTTAACAGATCACCAAAAAAGTTTATTATTTTTAAGTAACAGGGCTTAAGTCAGTTTGTTTGACATCATCTGTCGGGCACATGCTGTTTTCTGTTTATTTCATGCGTGCAGTCCGGCATTCATGATCAAACCAGTTATCTCCCTTACATTTTTCTGAAATTTGAGAGCACATTTTAACAACAGTTCCCCATAATGCTCAACAGCAAGATCTATACTTCCAGAGTTCAAATATTGATCACTATCAGGAATGGAATTCCAATGATCAATGTAGTATATTTCGAGCTTATCTTTCCATACGTAGCGTTGTTGTTTTGACAGTTCATTGTTAGGTTGATTGACAGTTTCGTTGTCTATCTGAAGTTTATAGGTCACTTCAATGTGCGAGGATTCGATCTGATCATCAACGTTAAAGTCACAAAACATAGGTATTGTGGAGGCGAAACACAGCACATAGTCCACCACGCTATATCCTTTGTTGGCGAAACACGTACTTTTGCCGATACCAGCATCTTGGAAAAGCCTACCGTTACAAATACGAAGTCCGGTTTGTTTACATCATTCCAGTAGTGAATGTCCACGTTTGTTTACAGTGTATCCTGTGATTTCCGAACGGTAATACCTCCATTAGAAATATAATCAAGCTCACTGTCAATAGATAAGTATAGAGGATCGTCATTTACAATATAGTCCTTCAGTGACCCATCGACAGTGGATAAGTAGATATAAACTCAGTAACATCATGCTCGATAGTTTCAAACAGCGGTTCATTAGTAAATTCACAAGTGTCATCCGGTGAAAAATACATAGTACACATAAATACCGTTAGGTCTTTATACCTGACGTGGAGCCACATAATGACTTTATATGAACTAGGTAATAACTTAACATACTAAGCGAAAGAGTCTCTGATAAATAATACCATACCTCATGAGTTTATGATCCGCTTTCTGTCTTGAGCTACTGAAGACAGTATATCCAGGTATAGAAATCACATCATTGTCACAGATCCAAGTTTCAACCAGAGAAGCAATATCAAACAATGAGACATAGTTACGAAATTCAGGGTTATTAAAGTTCCCTTTCAACCCCTGGTGTTCCAGACAACACAGCTACAGGAATGTATGGTACACACATGGCTTCGGCCACATCACTAGCTCTCCGTGTCATGGGTCATGTCATGTCCGCCTGAACCAGGGGTCGTGTGAAATATTTCACAGTTATCACCAAGTTGAGTTGTTTACCGTCGTCGCACAATTCGAACTGTTATAACTGGTAATAATTTGAATTAAAAAATTGTAGGTTATTAGACTACCGCTGCATGACGCTATTATATGTGATTAGTCGTCGCGAAAACATTATGCCATGATGCACGTGCAATATACGGGTCATGGAATAAAGGGCGGCAGTCTTGTCGCAGTCATCACCCAGTCGACATGTTGTGTGGTTTGTGCATGTGGATGTGCATGGAACATGAACTTATTGACGAACCTAACAATTTATCATCAATTTGTATCCTGTCATACCTCAGAGAAAGCAAACTTGTTCTCGGTACGTGCTTGGTCCATATGCGTTTTCAGCTTCCTCCGGATTTCACGCACTCGGTCTGTGAAGTCCTGTGAGATGTTGATTGGGGATCCTTTCAGGTGTTTCGGCGCCAGTAGATGACCTCGTCGGGAGTCCCTGTCATGTCCGTTACGCCTAATGACATAACGAACTTTCCTTTCTACTTCATGTGGTTTCTCTCCTGTGTTTTCACGGAGCTATGTGACATGCATCCGCTCTTCTCGACCGCTAGGTGGCGCCCCCGAATTTTGTCTTAATGGTAACCTAAAATTGATATATTTTTAATGAATATGCTGGCGTGTTCAAACTTGCATGTACTTGAACTCACCTCTGCGTCGGGTTTGTCCACATTAACTGGCTACTCCGTGTGGTACTCTGGGTTTAATGAGACGCCCGTTCTTAAAGAATGCAATAAGCTCCTTGTCTCTTTGCTCGGCCAGAATATTACGTTGACGTGTAGTCAGGTCATTTGAGAGTCCAATATGTGAACTCTGGAATCTGGACCTCTGAGTTAGCACTACTCTTTGTCCTCTGTCAACGTAACCTTCGCGATTAGTCGGCGTGAAGTTGAAGGTGAAGTAGTCTAAAATTATTGTCCCCCTGAGAGGGTACGTAAGACCACGTCAGTCAAAGTATATTTATTCGTAACATGCTTTTGACCGCAGAATGCGTTTTCATTGAATTCCGGGCTACCTTTGTCAAATTCGCTTACATCAGAAGGGATAGTGTAAATCCAGCTAGAGTCCACGCAGGTAACACAAGTACTGTAATTAAGTCCCCATATGGTCTCCAGTATGGTGATCTACCTTAAGTTGTTAGCGATCCATAGCCTATTTTATTGTATTGTTGTATGTATAATTGACAATGTCGTTTTATGGTAAAATGCCAGTTTTAAGACCTAGGCTGTGATAGTCTAGTTATTTTACTGTCATTTGTAGAGTCTGACAAATATTTATATATATATACAACTTCCATAGTCACAATATGACTAAAATAATGCCGATGTGACTTTAAATGTTAACGCATTCACTAATTAATCGCTCATATATACCCACTGTGGTAAGAGTTGAACTACTTGTTAGTTTGACTATTATGACATGATTGGTTGGATTTGACGATCACTACTTATGAACTATGCATAACAACCGCTTATGAATACCGTGGCGTATAATAGCATTCATTCATCTCGGAATGCCTCGATGAAGATTCCAAAGGATAATTAAGGCTCCCAGAATTCAAAAGGGCATAGAAGCTGCTGTATTATGTGAACGTGACACGGACAATAAAAGCAATACAAACAATGAAGCTCGGATGTTTATGAATATTATAGGCTGCAGGTTCTACCCCTTCAGTACTCTTGGACATTACAGGGATACACAAGATGACCTCTTGCCCACAATCCTCTGACAACACGTTCTCCCCTGTCAGCAAAGAGGTTGCGTTGACTCAAAGGTAACGCGTATTGCAACGATCCCCGTCCATTGGGATTGTGGATTGTGCTACAAAGCCATCATGATAAACAGTACATGACTGACAACAGACACAGATATGAAGAGGAAATGCAGCTGAGCAGTTCACTGTGGACAGTAAACTATTATGAATTAGAAAAAAGGAAATGTTTTACACATCCTGTGTCCATGTGCAACCCACGTTAAAATGACAGATGAAAGAGTTGGATTGTACACAGCTTTACAGACGCTTTATGGATAACGACTTCTTTTTTACGTGTGAGCGACGTTTTTGGTTCAGATTATAGTACCGTTGTTAAGCAAGAATGTGATGATGATGATGATGATGATGATGATGATGTTTCGAGATGTAACGTGCGCTTTCTGACATAATGCGTTTTTCGCAAGAATATAAAGAATAGATGTATATACACTGAATAACAAAGAAAATAACACAATTAACATACTAGCCTATAGTCCGTTTGGCTCAAAAGCGGACCGATGAATTGCAATCTTACTCGAAAACTAATAAACTTAATATACTCAATGAAACGCTGATCATAATCAAAACATCATACCAACTCTGTGAGATTTTTGCAGAATTTTTGTCCTAAAAATAATAAAGTTGTTTAACAAACTATCATAAAATATTTTGTTAATATAAATATTAAAATATTGACACAGTTCACTGTTTGTTACGAGGTGTTACGAGGTTACGACAGCCAGGTGTTCGAGAATCACGTTCACAGACAAAGTTATTTATTCATTAACCTGTGCTGTGCCGTCTCCATCCGTTCTCGAACACCTGGCTGTCCCTTTCTGTACAGCAGAACATTGACATAGTCAACTGGGAACATCACCAGGGAACAACAGGTTTCAAAGCACCTTTTGTTTTGAGAAAATGTATAACGATTAAGATTTTCAGGTTTTGAGAGAAGCAGGCATTTAATGTGTGTTTTAGATGTTTGTCTGGGGTCAATTCAGTGTTGAGAATAGATCATATTTGACAGCGTTGGCGATTTGACTGTACCTTCTACCAGTGTTCATTGTTTCCCCGCGGCAGCACAGGTAGCTGCTAAACGAATAGGCTGACTAGTACTACACAGAGATTTGTCAAAACTATAAATATACACTTTTCCAGAAGACGAGAATGATACTAGAGGAATTGGTACAATTCACTCTGAATTACGATAGACAATATGAGTTAAGGATAAAACGTTTTGTCAAACAGCAAGAGTACACAGCTTGCATCACTTCATGATTTTAAAACCCAAACCATGAATATATGTCAGAATATCATACAAGCTGTGACATAGCATCATAAAAGTGCAAATTATACTATAAAAAAGAGAAACGCATAACCCATAAATCTGTTGCGAAAATGTATTTTCAAAAATGTATAACTCGTCGACAAATAAAGTTTAGTACATGAATTTTTGCATCAGTTTAGAGAAGGAAATGTCTATACAACCAAGTGGATGATTGTATATGATAGAGACGTTGAGCGCCATGGTGACGACGTAGCACGGGCCCGACGTCGGATCTCCTGGCTCTCTGCCCAGTGTCTGTCAACCTGTTCCGCACAGTTTGACTGGATATCCTCCGAAGTCCAGGCACCCTGGCTGTTGTGCTCTCACCTGTGGCAGTACGATCACGCACATGTAGTACCCGGATGTACCGATTTGGGGCTACAGTGGTGACTCGAACTCAGGCCTGTACGGGGACGGTCATTTGTTATGCCTGTTTGGTTGTAACGAGCTGTAAGCCGTGATATCGTGCTCAGACTAACATTCAGACGCCTGGTAACAGAAGATTGGTAATCTCCAGCGTGCATTCTTTCAATGGCGATGTCCGTTGTCGCAGTGTCAAGACGTGGCGTAGTGATTTGACCTTGAAACTCCTTCAAAACGAATGCCAATTTCCGAAAGTAATCTCTCTTTGCTGCACCATTTCAACTGGAAGGTGATTTCTGCTGCGTTGTGGTGATGCCCCGATTCACATTGGCAAATCTATTTTGGAATACGATATCAATCTTACTATCAGTAAGATAATGAACGATAATGTCAAACTATGCTCAAATACAACTACAAAGTCAACTGTTAAAACGTATGTACTTTTGAATTTACACAATTTCAACCTTTTATATTTACTTCCCAAATAGAAATAAACCCATAATTTTATTGCCTCATTAACATATCTTCATAATGCATAGTTTAAACTTTAACAAACAACTACTCACAGAAAGAACCAAATAAAAACGTAATAAACCATACTGAGCTTTGGCCTGCGGATGTTCGGAAGTGTTGGAATGTTTTCGGCCAAAATAGCAAATTATGTAAATACATACATTGTGTCTGCCAGCTTTCCTAATAAAGCACAATAGAATGTCCATGTTACGAAAACTATTCATGATGCTGAAAATATCCATATATGTAAAGAGTTAACGTCAAGGGAAAATCAACATATATAACCAAATATAAACGTAATAAACCATACTGAGCTTTGGCCTGCGGATGTTCGGAAGTGTTGGAATGTTTTCGGCCAAAATAACAAATTATTTTGCCGTTATATTCGTTGGTACACTGCTGTATGTTGTTTTAGCGCAGTTTGCGAAGTAGACGAAAACTGAAGCAAGGACTTGAAAACACAGGTATCTCCTTCTCACGTTACTTCATGACGGTGACTGTGATGACGTATTGGTACACGAGACAATGACTACACACAAAATTATAACAACTGTTATCTATGACACAAAGCCAGATATTCGTGCGGTATCTACCTCTGAAGGGAAGTCGATATTTCAAACCTGATTAGTAGTAGGCCATGAAAAAGAGAATATCCCAACAAGGCATTTAAAAGTCTGCCTGTATATAATTATACTATCCGTAACGGTAAGCTTTAATAAACGATAATTATACGGCGATCTGTTGAAACGTTTAAAACAGTTAAGAGTTAATATTGTTTACTAATGTTTACTGGGTTACCTTTATGGTGGAGTAGCCATGCTTGCACTAAATACAAGTCAAACCAACATTGTTACTGGTATTAAGATAAAAGCGAAGACAATCTCTTGTCTTCTTGTGGCGTACAAAAAATGAGTGTTTTTATTCCCGCAGTGCAACTATGTGAGGCAGGGCAAACAGTTTACACAGAGTCCGACAGAGAAAAACCAGCGGAAAGAGGCAAAGTCAGATTGACACTTGGGCAGCAGATGGGCTGGACAGTGGTCCTTGTCTCTGGCTTGCCTTCTGCCGGTCTGTCCTCGCTTACCTCTGTCTGTCAGGTCTCCCCTTGATTACCTTTATGTCAGCTTTAAAAAGCAGATGAACGACTGCTGAGGTCATCAAGTCACATTGTAACTAGCTTGACATATCTCTGACAAGTGTACACGACAAGTGTTACACTTTATTCTTTGGTGACCTGACACAGTTCAGGCACATGACAAATTGTAAATATGAACAGTCTGTGTGTATATGAAGGGTGACTACATTAACTGGCATATTTACACGTCCTACAAAACCCCAATAAAATGAAAGTTCTGTGACGGTAACTCCACTGAGGATGAATTCATTTTCTGACCATCTGTCCATGTTCTTAACATAATTCATGGCAAGGTGTGTTTACTCGAAATCCATTCTTCAATGTGTTGTCGCATTCGTACATGGGTAATGGCAAAATTACAAATGTTCTTAATTAGTTATTGAAATGTATACTATTAAGAAGTACGAGATCTTCAATAAAAAGGTGTCACAACTTTGCCTAACAGTGCTGCAGAGACATCTGACTGAGATATGCATTAGTCGTTGAACTTCAGACACGTTTTTGTCACATGACTGACCAAGGCGCCGTTCTGTTCATCACGCCATTTACCATGCACAGTCAGACTCATTAGTATCGTGTGAATCCGCCTGCATTCTCAAGGCAATCCCAGTTTCGATTGCCATCCTATTCCCTCAGCAGGGCGCAGACAGGTGTAGATCAAGTTGTAGTCATCGGAGAAAACACAGTTAAGTTGTGGAGTTCCCTCAAGGATCGGTCCTTGGACCGGTATTGTTTACTCTTTATACGAGAAATCTTGGAGATGTCATTCGGAGGCATACAGTTAGTCATCATATGTATGCCGATGACACCCAGCTGTTTGATTCTAGCAAGCTGGATGCCTCTAGTGGACTCTTTAGTAGGTTTTCTAACTGTTCCGT